TAGAATTGGTGGAAGACACAGACTTTGCAAAAATCAGTCACACGTAGGTTTGAATCCTAACTTTGCTATTTAGCATGTGACTAGTAATCTCTATTAATTCCTCACCTAAAATTGATTATAATTAATACCCACCTTGCAGGATAATTGAGTCAGAATTAAACAATATAGCTAAAATATTAAGGATGTAGCAGCTTCTCCACAAATGGTAGCTATTATAGACTTTTAGCTCTACTCAGTGTAGAAAGCAGTTCCTATGCAAGATGTAGATGTTCAAAGCAGCATTGGACTTTCTCGAAAATTCTGGCTAAAATATCATCCAGAGGCATTTTTAGTCATTGAAAAATTAAGTCACCATTCAGGACTGAATGCATTATAGAGAGATGTAATAACTAACCTCATAAAAATTTTTAAACTTTTTAAATTCTGAGAATTTAAACAAAATTTTATGCTTGGTAAACACTCCATTTTAAAAATTTTCTATTAGGATAGCCTGACTTGATAACAAATTTATCCACAAATGTTGACTATCTGTATTAGGTATAAAAGGAAACCAGCTGTAATTTTTAATGCAGTGAATGGCATAAAGAAACATGCAGCCTGATCCAAATGTTTATAAACCGAGTATTCCTCTGGGACTCAGTGCCCTGACTTTAGGGGTTTTTTTAAACATAGAGAGTAAAGCTTTGTTCATACTTGAATTATGTACTTTGCATTAGCCATGCAATTTAACTTTAACCCACAGGACTGAAAGTAAAATTAGCTCAGCCTGCAGAACGAGAGCGTGAGCAAGTAAGAACGTTAATCAAAGTGATGGGCTTGCCCCTCGCTGCTAGCTCTGTCCTTCTCCAGCCTGCTCCTGCCAGATCATTTTGGGTTCCTCCTGCTTCACTCATCAAAGTGGCAAAAAGCAGGCTAAAATTTTCATTGTGGAAAAGGGATTTGCCTTTTAAATTAATGTTTGTGCATATGCCCTGAGGAGATGGATGAGAAGCACGCAATTTTTAAAAATCATAAGTGAATGCATACCCTTGCCACTTGCAATCATGACAAAGCTTAAGTAATTCGGGCATGAGCATGGCTTTTTTAAAGTGCAAAACAGGATTTACTAGTTGAGAACGTCTGCCTAAACAAGCTCATCACTCTGAATATTTTCAACTGTAGTTCACACTTGTTTAACCCAAGTAGGTCTGGTAAACGTATCACATTTGCTCACCGAGTGTTTGGAACGTCACAGAATAAACCAGTACATGGATTTTAGGCTCATAATGACAGAGGGTGGACAGAGAACACCGCAGGGAGGTTTGGAAACGGCTTGCCCTGGCATCTGGCTTACAAGTACCAGTAGGGGACCTGACCACACTCACCACCCTTTCCTGTAAAGGGGATATAACACTGTTTACTCATCTCCTGGGAGCCTGATATGGATTACTGTCGTTGTCACTGTCATTTATTATCCGAGACAGAGGAGGCAGCGACTTAGTTCTACGTGGTCAGAGCTGATTCTATAACGTGTATATTTAGCCTACGTAATGATTTGTGAGTGTTTTCAAGTGAATGTCTAGTTTTCAAATGTCATTAATGGGGACTGTCTCAACAGACATTGAGAGCATCAAACACCTAGGTGTTTGCGTCAAGCTCCTCTGACTCCACTGTGAGGACCCTGCTTTATAGATGACCATATATTAAGTTGGTGCCTTGTAACTCAGCGTGATCATCTCTCTAATTCTCGACCCCCATGGTAAAGGAGGAATTGGCCTAAGGACACTCCATTCTAATTTTCTGACGCTGTCAATGCTAACAAGAGCTCATAGAGCAATGATGTGGGGGTGGGGAAGATGGTTCCACCATTGGTATTAGACTAGGAGCTACTGTTTTCGTTAGAGCCACATTTATTTCTGGAGTAGTTGTGGGAGAGAGATGTGCTCCAAAGAGAAGAGGACTCTCTGTGGTGCAGGTATGACCCACAATCTGGACAACCAACTCAGAGACTTTAAAGTATATAAGATAGAGGCGGGCAGGGTACTTTCTACACATTAAGATTAAAATGTTTAATGTGTGGAGACAGGATGTTCTTGGGCAGAAGATGGAATGAGAGCTAGAAACAAAAGATCCAGTTGTGAAACCTAGTACCTAAGATAAGATGTTTGAATATATGTTCTCCTTTAAAAAATTTCTGGGGAACTTGTATGTTTTGATAACCTGATTATTTTCAGCCAGTCCTTATAGAAGATAGAGGCGCTAGAAAACTAGCAACCCCAGAATATATTAATTCATTTCTGCACGTGTTAAAATTAATTAACATTAGCATATTCAGTGATGCAATAGGCAATTAAAGACTTTTAGAGGGATAAGAAGAAGAAAAATGTAAATATATATTCAAAATCAGTCTCGTAGTATTTTATAAAAATGTTGGCTTATGTCCAGGATCTAAAGGTGGGGGTGGGTATGATTTCTTTGTAGCTAAAGAAATAGAGTGGAAAAGAATCTGCTCTATTTCCTTAAAAATAAAAGACTTCTTGTTTTATACATCATGGCAAATGAAATGCTTTTCTGTTTTTTACCTGCCGGCAAGATCTGGAGGAAATTTTTCTAGCAAGCTATGCTGTTTTCCTCTTTGGGGACATGGTGACACTGGTTTTGTAGCAAAACAGTATTTGCTTATTAGGCATTTCTTCAAAATCCTGAATAAGCAGCTCTTTCAACAGTTTTTGTTCCACATGTTAAACATTTCGTTGCAATTTGAGCTTCGATTGTGTGTGTGTGTGTGTGTGTGTGTGTGTGTTGGTAGGGAGGAATGAAAGGGGGTGCGTAAGAATTCTGGAAGGTTTTTTATTTAAAAAATTAATTCCTCACCATTATGTATTGAAGTCTCTACAGAAAGTGATTGCAATTTATTACATACGGCCAAACTAGATCCCATCAATCTTGAGCGGTGGGGGTAGGGAGGTGGTATTGAAGAAGACATGAAATTTGGTGTTTGAGTAGATGAGATTTAATTTTCGGAAAACATTTCGCTCATAAAACGGATAGCAACCCAGTGTCAGCCCTGACCTCCTGATGTCAATGTCATCGTGCAAGCGTAGCTAAAATAAGCCTCAAAGTAAAACAAAGAAACATTGCATCTCAGCACAACACGATTTCTTCTCTTACAGTATGTACTATCTATAGCCTTTTGGTATTCCTGTTAATGGCTTGTTACTTTAAAATTTAGCTTTTGGAGGGGGAGGGAGAAGAAAAATCATTTAGCATTTTCTATGTTCTGAGTGCATACAGTATGCTGCTGTAAGTCTTAGCATTATTTAGGTCAGTATCCTAAGGATAGCTTTTATCATTCATGATGATCAGCTATACATCCAAAGGAACTCAGCATCAATTTATTTTTCTGTACTGCTTTTATTCTGCTTCTAAGTTTAAGAAAATCCATTCACGGTTTAATAAAATTCTATCTGAGGCGGTATCTGCCTTTCTGTACTGCAGATACACTTAGCAGGATACATTTACACTGCTTGTGGTTAAAGGTTATAGCACAGATACAGACAGCTGATCATGCATTCTTCTACAAGCTTGCCGGCACCACTTAGAATTTTGAAAAATAATCTAGAAATGCTATACCCTTTATCAGAATTATTCTTTACTTTGCAACAGCTTAACAATTTTGATTTTTTTTTGTTAGCAATTCTATGAAATTAACAATCTATAAAATGCATTCCGGACCAGATACATACTGTATTGAAAGCTTTCTTCAAGAAGAGGACATGACAGTATTCATTCCAGCTTATTTTCTTCCTTAGCAAAAGGATTGTTTGATTCTCAGAAGCAGAAGGACACATTCATTGTGGAGCAGCTCTGCCTAAGAGTATGAAATGCCTTCTGTCTGGTTGCAGAATTTGGAGTTTGCTAAACAGTGTTTAGTGATTGGGCTCATCTTGCATCACCAGTTGATGACATTTTTCTTTGTTCCCTCCTACCCAGTTGAACCAAGACTCTGAGGCTGATATGCAATGTCACTTACAACATTAATCAGATACTGCATTTAAGGTGAGCTGTCCCTTGCCTCCTCCTTCCCTAGTGCTTGTGTGCTGCATGCAGTGCGTATCTTGCTTCTGCGAGCCTAAGATGGCAGGCAGGATTAGCCGTGCTTGTGCTGTGTGTGCATGCTGTGTATAGAATTCATTACACGTTGCCTAGTATTTCAGATGTGAGTATGTAAATGCTCTGTATGCCATATCATCTGGTAGCGAAGACTGGTTTTTGCCTCATTACAGCCTTAGATATTTCAACATCACCTTTCATTTCCGATTCATTTGCTTCTGGATGGTTGCTTTTCATCACATTCAAAATACGATTTTACCTTTTTTTTTTTTTTTAACAAAGCCCCAACCCCCTACAAAACCCTAAAAACAAAAACAACAACAGCAAAACTCTGCTACCAGATGGTGTCTCCCCTTTCTTCTTGCATTTGCTGTCTTTTAAATAATGTATGTTGTATTGTTAATTAATGTGAATATCAAATTAAACACTTGAAACTTACATGTTTATTATGCAGGTAGGAGGCAAGGTGGAGTCTATTTTTAACTCTTTTGCACTGCATTGTGTGCAAGCAACTTGGGTTCTCAAATTTGTATTTTCAGTGCTGGTATCAGTGGTTTGATTTTCAGCAAATGTGACAGTGGCCTTTGCAGTGGTCAGCTCCGAGCTTTGAACTCTCAGAGGAGGAAGGGGAAAAAAATTCAACATACCACCTTCTTGGTTGCAGCCTCAGAGAAACCTTGGATGAGAAACTTCTTTTTTCAATCCTGTTTTCCTGTTGATAAATTCAGTTCTCGTGATCACGGTACATTCAAGCTGTTCTGCGTATGATTTTTGTGTGTGTGACAATTGCATCTAAAACTTGTGAGCAAGAAGACGGAGAAATCAGTTGGTCTCCATCGCTTTACATAAAAATGGCTGAGTATCTTGTCATGCTAGCACTGCATTAAGTGATGCATACAGGTAGGTTGGAATTTGCATGTTTTATAGATTTTTTGGAGCCATGAAGCAAGAACATTAGATGCATTAAAATATGACTTTAAAAAAAAATGAAATAAGACAGTTGTAATCTTTTGGGGGGAGGGTATTGAATTGGATAGCCTCTGCTATTCAGATACTATATAAATATATAGCTTTTAGAAACTTATAAAGTGATTCTGCTATAAAAGTGAGATGATTCTTTTTTTTAAAAAAATCATATATATGATAGGTGTGGCGCCATTAGACAACAAAAGAATTTTTTGAAAAGTCTGATGATTTAGCTCCATTTTAGCTTGAAACTAAAAATAAATGGATTTCTGGAGATAATTTCAAAGAGCGTAAACAAGCTTAATAAGAAACATTAAAAATATTTAAATTTTATGAAGCGGTTTTTAAACGTGTTTTATGAAAGATGAAAATAAAAACTTACATGCTTCCAAAATCAATTTTAGGTAATATACAAGAATACACTATTTGTATGTATATAATTTAGAGAGATGAAGAGTTATAGTTTTTAAAGGGGGAAATATTAAATATAGATGGCCTTGTTAGAAGAAATAGAGCTTCACTAAATGAAACTGAGCCCCTAGAATGGTTCATTGCAGACCATACAGCTGTGGTTCTATAAGTACCAGATTCTGACACTTTTCAAAATTATTTCATGAGTTCTTCCCTTTGAGCTTAACTTCTCAAATATATTTTAGTTTCGAATTAACACTGGGCCAGAACCTGTTTCCTTGGTAACCAAATTGTATTTTAAAATGCAATAACAGATATGCAAAAGAATGTCTTAGAAAAGGAAACAAATGCTTAATGAAAATTTTACAGTTATTTTCCCTCTAATATAGAATCTGGACTGGTTTTAGATGTTTTTAAATACGGTCTTCAAGCCTTAAAAATTAAGCCATATTTCTAAACATATAGAGAAAGCTTGCACAGTGACAGCTTTTTTCTTCCTCCTTTGTGCTCATTCTTTCAAAATTAAGGTTTTCTTTGTAATATGCTCCAGAATGCAGGTCAAGGTTTGTGTACCGAGGTGTAGTTTCATTATCACGAGTTCACCAGCGCCACTGAAACAAAAGGTATTTCAGAAATTCTGAGAATCAGAAAATGCTTATGCTCTTGTTTTTCCTGATCCCTCCATTGGTAACCTCAGAGCTCGGTAGAGAAGGACGGAAACCCAAGCCTACTGCCCCAATGATAAGTGCATATCGAGCCTTTGTAGAAACATCTTTGTAGGTGTGTTAGGAGGAAAATGCTGCCACACCTGAAACTCCCCAAGGTTTGCTCCGATGAGAACATTGAGATTCAAAACCATCTGTGTAAATAGTTGCTTTATACTAGCAGTTTTTCTAATATTCTTTTTCATAGCACTATCTGTAAAATCAAACCTCTTATGGGCTATAGAGTTGTTGTTTTTGTTGTTGTTGTTGTTGTTGTGTTGTTTTGAGGCCAACTAAAATATTTTGCTTGAAGTCTTTCTCTGGCTCAATTATATTAGAACGTGATTCATCTCATAGTGATTTTGTTCTCCGGGCTTGCCGTGAAATATCCTTCCTGTAACACCTTTTTTTCTGTTGTTGTTCTTGGTTGTTGGAAGCCATTTTCCTTCTTGCCTGTGACTTAAAATGACTAAGTGCATTTTAAATGTATTATCAATCAGATGATCATAAACTGAAGAGAAATGTCAGAAACCTGATTCAGTAATGCCTATTCATTTTAGTACCAATAGCATTAACAGTTGCAGTAGGATCAAGCTAATTGTCATTCACTCCTGAACAAATAATGAGCCAGGCATTTGTAACTAAAACACTATTGCTATTCAGAAAGATTACAACTATACATCTTCTATTTTGATAGGCCAGTACAAATTAATCATTTTGAATCCATTTGAATCTTAATTACAAGATTAGATGGATGCAATGCAATTGTTTTACCATAACAATGAATGCCTCTTCTTTACAAAATGTCGATCCTTTTGTTTGTAACTCAAGCATGATTGTGTCATCTTGATTTTCATACTTAATGGGTTTTTTTTTTGTGGCGTTCATTTATGTTGTTCTTGGTCTTGCCTGAAGGAATTTTAAACACAATTCAAGGAGCTATAAAGCCAAATAAGATTGTCGGGAAGCGTATTGTACCACTGTCATTCTAATAAATAGACAAGTGAATGGAATAATAATTATTATATATTACTCTGTTGTGTTTTGCCTTAATGTTTTGCCTTCATATTTCATAGCAATGTTTATAAGGCACACAGCTTTTCTAAACTGACCCATTTACAATTATTATTGAATTTCCTGGATTAGCTGAAAACGTTTCCTGCCAATTGTAGAGGATGGCACTTACCCCTTCCCATTGTTTGAAAGACTATCCTTAACCCATTTACACTTTTTGGCTCAGGTGTTTACATTGGGCAGGCCAGAGCAGGTGCAACAGGAAGAATGTGCAAACAACTGCTTTGTACTCACCAAAATGAAATGGGCAAATTATGGTTTTCTGCCTGAATGATTTATAGTATAAAATTCTCAACTCTGTTTCTTCTTTGGAGAATGGGAAATGTTTTTCCAAGCTTTAACTCAGTGGAATACCAAGATGGCATGTCTTGCTACTAGAGTAATGTTGATCTACCTCAACCATTTCCATAGATCCCCGGTACAGAGACTGGTGGTCAGACCATGACTTAGAGCTTCTTTACTGGTTGATATAGAAGGATCTAGAAAAAGATCTAGCACCTTTCTTTTTAGTATGAAATTATGCTAAGCCTTTAAGTCCCCGGTACCATATGGTTCCTTCTAACAGCTCCATTCCAAGGGAAATGCTATTCTTAATGGCTCTCTTGGCAAGTAAACACTCAGTGCATTTATTGAGCACCTACTATATGCCAGGCATATTCCAGAGGCTAGCAATATAGTGATGAACAAGACAGACCATAGCCCTGCTTCTCATGGACCTGCCTTTAGTTGGGGAGGGGCAGGGGCAGTAGGCAAGAATAGACATGTAAACGAACAACTAAAAAAGACTAGGGTGATTTGGTTGCGAGGAGGAGAGGTGATTTAGAATAGTTGGTCAGGGAAAGACTTCCTGAGGAGGGGGCCGTTAAGTGGGGATCTGTGTGCAGAGAAGGCTCCAGCCAGCTGATTATCTGATGTGGGGGTGGGGCATTACCAAGCAGGAGTGCTCACGCTCAAATGCAAACTTTCCTTTCCTTGTATCACTGTCACTGTCTCAGAGCCAGGTCTGACAACTTCATGGGTGGAATCTTAGGTAAGCTTCCTCCATGGTAAGAGAATGGCCCAAGTTCCTGTGGCTGGTTTTAGCCCAGCCACACTCCCAGAGTTTGGTACCTGTGGGGTCATTGCCTTTGACCTAGTCACCAACCTGCCTAAGAAGAGGCATCGTAGATCTAAATGGCGATGAAATTCTGGCACAGATTCAGTGCCAACCTGAGGAATCCACAGAAGAAAGGCCTCTAAGAGCAAGGAAATTTCTGGGAAACCTCTTGCTTTATTTTTCATAAGGACTCGAGAATTGAAACTCACAGCAAAACATCGAGATAATTATTTAATTTTTTTCAAAGGCAACATGGTGGAGGGGTCTGCTTCATCCTGCCAATAGATTCTGTTAGTCCTAAAACTCTCCCATCAGAGTGAAGTCTTTTCAGGTTTCACTAAAACACTTTGGCTCTGCAGACATCTTTGCCTGTTGGTTGCTTTCTAAAGACCTTACTACTTAAAGTAATTATTCTCTATTAAAGCAACTAGTTCTAAGAAAATTCTTCTTAAGAACCAGAACTCTTTTATGCCTTCTAGGTTAGGCTGTGACAAAGGTTAGAGAACAAAAGGGTAAGTTTACTATTCAAATTAGAAACTATAAGGCTTTCGAAAGGCTTCTGAACATTTCAGAAGCATCTTCTAAAGTCCATTCATCATTTAGCAATCTTTGCTTATGATGGTAGAGATGGCCTGGCTGGCTCCTTATACTCCATTTGGTTTTGAGAAGCCCTGAAATATTCCACTACAAGACAGGTTTGTTTGGTCCTTGGTATTGCCCATCAGTGGAGGAGGGGACTTCAACAATTCAGTTCACTACTTTGAGCATTTGTTGAGCATCTACTATGTGACAGACACTGGTATAAGCCAGGCAGAATGGAATACGACATGGTTCCTATTAAACGCCCGTCCAGGTTCCCACGCAAGGCTAGAGCATTGTATGGAGAGGCACAATTGTGTGTCCTCCCTGTTCTAGAAAGAAATGAATGGTGCATTGTTCTCTTTAGTGGCCTTTTGTACTGTTCCCTGGAGGCTACCCTTCAGTTTGGGGACATCTCAGCCAACAGCAAGGACAGTTCTTTGCTCAGACTTTGTGTCTTGGCCTCCTTGACCACCTTCCTGAGATGTCTTGGCTCCTAATAAGCCACCGCATGTCTGCCTGCCCTTCTCCAAGCTGGTCTGCCTGCATTGCCAGGTGACCTCGATAACGGCTGCCACAGTTGCATTCATGAGCAGATGTTAAGCTGAGAAGCCCTTGAATGTAAAATTTTGAATTTGTGATGCCGGTAAGATGCTTTTGGTTTTTTACCTTCCCTGGCTGGGGGGGGGGGGGGCCTCCCTGCTGGCTGTTCTGCAGAAGACTTTCTGGGCAGCAGGTAAATCAGAGACCACTTGCCAAATCAATTGTCTTTGCTAGGTGATCCCAGCATGCCACTGCCATAGCCTAAATGTCTCATTGACCAGAAAATTGCTCTTTTGATCTTATAACGCATTTTGCATCTTTCCCCCTTAATGGCTTTTCCTTGCTCCTGCAGCTATTCCTGCTCAAGGTTCAAAACTAGCACTTATGTCTACACTCCCTGTGTTTGGCCAGTGGAGGGAGTTTGTTTTCTGGTACTGTTCAGTTTGAAAAATGCCAGTGTAAATATTCTGTGTTCATGAAAAGTAATGAGGGCTTTTGTTACTTGCTTTATATAATAAAATAACCCTCTTCCTTACTCTGTGGTCATTGATGCCAAATGGATATTTTGAAATTTCTTTTCCTCTTGCCTGCTAAAATCTCCCACCCTCTCTGAGGCCTTGCTCTAATTAAGGCCTAAGGGTCCTGCCCATCTTCCCCAGCGCTGAGCATGACGTGGAGTCCCTGCCCCCAGGGCTTTACAAGCCAGTGAGACGAGAAAACAAAAGCCACCAGCTGAGAGTGTGGTTAAATCCCAGAAGGGCAGTGCCCTTATAATTTTTTTTCCCCTTTCCTCTTGTTTCTTGTGCTGAGGAAGGGAAGAGGGGACCTTTAGTAGGAAAAGGGAGGAATTATGCCACTGAAAGATTCTGTAAATTATGCAGGGTGTTGGGGAAATGACATGGAAGAGAATAGGGTGATCTGCTGGGCAGCAAAATAGGGTGCTGGCTGTAGTCGGAGAGGGCAGTGAGGGAGCCAAAGGGGGTGCAGAAGATGAGAAAGAGGGAACAAAGGGAGCAGTCAGGAGGTAGCCCGCAAACAAAAGGAGAGGCTGCTTTGCGCGCAGGGTACATGGGAGAAAATGCGAAGGAGTTGCAACTAGAAAGGGAAGGCTCAAGACAGCCCTTAAATTCAGGCTGCAGGCCTGCTGCAGAGAGACCAGGTGCTGTGATGTTCCATCTGTCTTCGGTCTTAATGTTGGCCTTGTTGCTTAATTGTGTCATCTTGCCTATTGCGAAGAGCCTACAGATTGATGTCCTTAAAGGCTCTTTATCCCAAAGTCTTACGAAATTTCCATTTCCATGCCAAGGTTCCTATTCTACATGCTGAGGATGCCAGAGAGTCCCTCACCTGGCTATCGCTCTACTAGATCCGGATTAAACTTTAAATGTAATAAGCAGACTTCTTACACATGCCATAACCAGGTGCTTTTGGTCTTCTACAAAGCACAGACTGGAGACCGACCCAAAATATCCACTGTAAACTACAGACTTTAGAACTTCTTTTTCCCGGTCATGTGACCACAGCAGGCATGGCACTCTACTTTGGGAGCCTCCCACAAAGCCTTCTTCCTCTTCCTTCCTTCCTTTCACCACCCTGTCCAGACCAGTCCCTGGTCTGACTGCCTGTTGCACCATCCCCAAAGGGTATTCTGATTGTTTGAATCTCTTGATCTTCGGGAAAACCATGCCTGGCCGGTACACCAGGACTTAGCGTAGCCATCCTCCCTGTACTTCTTGCTGAGCTCTTATAGAAATTCAAGAACCACAGACTTCAGTTGCTGTGTGGACCTTAGACCCTTTTTACTCTTTCATTGAAGGAACTATGGCACAGAGAAGTTGTGACTTCTCGAAGAGTTAAGTAGCTTGCCTCCGAGATCAGAGCTCTTTCTACTAAACCAAGCTGTTTTCAGGTCACAGGGAAAGCCCAGTTCTAAACCCAGGGGCTGACACACTTTTTCTGGAAAGGGTCAGATAGTAAATATTTTAGGCTTTGTGGCATCAAAAGACAAAATTTCAACAAATTGAATTTGAAGATTTCATGGCCTTTTATTTGCAATTCATGAAGTCAGTCAACACCTCATCTCTAAAAAATAGATGCCTCTTTGGGCATGGCAGGACAGTTGGTTTTTTATAAGGTAGCTTGATCAGGAACAAGGAAATAGCGTAATACAAAAGGCAGATTGCTTAACATCAGGTTACTTATAAGGGTTAAAGCAGAGGGGACTCCATTATCATGCCAGCTAAAATTGGCCTATTATCTCTCTTCTGATTTCTCAGAAGGTCAGATAAACAACTTAATTTCAGTTTGGCGAAGTGGAAGGGGCCTAGTTAGTTAGTGCAAGAGCTTAGTCCGAATCAATGGCCTCCCATAAATTTTACTTAACAGTAAGTTGAGGCAAAACTGAAGATATTATGTAGGTATTTATATTACAAGGAACAAAGCAAATTGCTACAAATTTTAGATTGAACAAATTCACAATATAATAATATATAATATTAGGTATGATAATAATAGCTATATTACCATAGATACAGAAATGAATGACTATGGCTGTGTGCTAAGAAAACCTTACTTAAGGACTCTTGCATTTGAATTTCATATAATCTTCCTATCACACAGCACAGTCAATACTTTGGAAGTATCACAGACTTATTTCCTGACCACTGCAATAAAGCAAATATTGAGATAAAGCAAGTCACACAAATTTTTTTGTTTCCTAGTTCATATAAACGTTATGTTTACACTATACTATAGTCTATTTAGTGTGCAATACCATTATGTTTTTTAAAAAACCTATGTACATACCTTAATTTAAAAATACTTCATGGTTAAAAAATCCTAACAGTCATTTGAGACTTCAGCAAATAGTCATCTTTTTGCTAGCAGAGGGTCTTGCGTCAGTGTTGATGGCTGGTGACTGATGAGGGTGGTGGCTGCTGAACGTTGAGATGGGAATCTCTTAAAATAAGACAACGGTAAAATTTGTCACATCGAATGGCTCTTCCTTTCATGAAAGATTTCTCGGTGGCATGCAATACTATTTGATAGCATCTTACCCACAATAGAACTCCTTTCGAAATTGGAGTCAATCCCTGCCACTAGGTCATTTGCTGTTACCACCCTCAAAGTCATCCATAAGGGTTGAAATCAACTTCTTTCAAACTCTTGTTAATGTCGATACTTTGACACCTCCCACTTATGAAATGTATTTTTTTAAAAATAAAACTTGAAAGTCAAAATTACTCCTTGATTTATGGGCTGCAAAACGGATATTGTGTTAGCAGGCATGGAAACAATAGTAATCTTTTATATCTCCATCAGTGCTCTTCGGCGACCACGCACATTGTCAACGAGCAGTAATGTTTTGAAAAAAATCTTTTTTCTGAGCAGATCTCAATAGTGGGCTCAAAATATTCACTAAACTATGCTGTAAAGAGATGTGCTGTCATCCAGGCTTTGTGTTCCATTAATAGAACACAGGCAGAGTAGATTTAGCATAATTCTCAAGGGCCATAGGATTTTCAGAATGGTAAATGAGCACTGGCTTCAACTTACTGTCACCTGCTGCATTATCCCCTAACAAGGGTCAGCCTGTCCTTTGAAGCCACACATTGACTTCCCTCTATCTATGAAAGTCCTATATGGCATCTTCTTCCAGTAGAAGGCTGTTTTGTCTACATTGAAAATCTATTATTTAGCATAGCCACCTTCATCAATGATCTTAACTAGGTCTTCTGGATAACTTGCTGTAGCCTCTGCATCAGCACCTGCTGCTTCACCTTGCACTTGGGGATGTTCTGGAGATGGCTTCCTTCCTTAAACCACATGAACCAACCACTTCTAGCTTCCAGCTTTTTTTCTGTAGCTTCCTTATCTCTCTCAACCTTCATAGAATTAAAGAGAGTTAGGGCCTTGCTTCTGGATTGGGCTTTGGCTTAAGGGAATGTTGTGACTGGTTTGATCTTCTATTCAGAGTACTCAAACTTTCTACATCTCAGCAAGAAGGCTGTTTTGCTTTCTTATTATTGATATGTGTTCACTGGAGTAGCACTTTTAATTTCCTTCAAGAACTTTTCCTTTGCATTCACAACTTGGCTAACTGGTGCAAGAGGACTAGCTTTTGGCCTATCTCAGCTTTCGACATGCCTTCCCCACTGAGCTTAATCATGTCTAGCTTTTGATTTAAAGTGAGAGATATGTAACTCTTCCTTTCACTTGAACACTTAGAGGCCGCAGTCGGGTTATTAATTAGCCTAATTTCAATATTATTGTGTCTTAGAGAATAAGGAGGCCTGAGGAGAGGGAGAGAGATGGGGAATGGCCTGTTGGTGGAGCAGTCAGAACACACACAGCATTTTTAGGTTAAGTTCACTGTCCTTCATGGGCATGGTTCATGATTACAATAGTAACCTCAAAGATCACTGATCATAGATCACCATAACAGATATAATAATAATGAAAAAGGCTGAAATATTGTGAGAATTACCAAAGTGTGAAACAGAGACACAAAGCAAGCACATGCTGTTAGAAAAATGGCGCCAATAGACTTGCTCGATGCAGGGTTGCCACAAACCTTTCATTTGTAAAAAAAAGGCACTACCTGCAAAGCACAATAAAGCAGGGTACAATAAAACAAGGTATGCCTTGTTTATTCTTCTTTTGAATTTTTTTTTCCCAATCATTTAAAAATGTAGGCCGGGTACGGTGGCTCATGCCTATAATCCTAGCACTGTGGGAGGCCGAGGCAGGAGGATCGCTTGAGCTCAGGAGTTTGTGACCAGCCTGAGCAAAAGGGAGACCCGTCTCTACTAAAAATAGACAAATTAGCTAGGGTCATAGTGTGCACCTGTAGTTCCAGCTACTTGGGAGGCTGAGGCAGGAGGATCCCTTGAGCCCGGGAGTTTGAGGTTGCAGTGAGCTATGATGACGTCACTGCACTCTACCTGGGCAACAGAGTGAGACTCTGCCTAAAAAAAAAAAAAATATATATATATATATGTGTGTGTGTGTGTTTTAAAAAAATATGGATTACTAAAAAAGAAAAAGAACCACAGTCCCAGACCACATCAACAAAGAACAATAATTTTTAATAACATCAAATAT